GACTTTATACTTGTGAAAACATAATTAGCAGTTGCTTATCACTACGAATGGAGAAATACCATATATTAAATTAGAGGGATAGGTTCAAATTAATATGGTGGTGGGTTAACAGCGTGGAGCTGTCAAAGTAAACTTGGAATAATTTCTAGTTTTCTGTCAGACAGGCTTCTTTGTGTGAGTTGAAGAATGCTAGACTGACATTGCGTAAATGTGCATCCAGCATTTGTTGTTTTTTTGAAAGTTACTTAACAACGTGTTTTACTATTTTTAGTGTTATTTTTAGGTAGTAAACCTGTGGAGCGCCTTCAGATATTGGTATTTTATTAGTACTGTGACATGGGAACATTAACATTGTAATCAGAAACAAAACCTTTTCAGGTAAAAGCTCTTCATTTGGAAATGTGGAGGGAGTACTGACATTTTCTGCTTTCTAAGCTGTTATTTAGTTGTCAACAGGTATTTAGTTTATCCTAGAGCTGTAATTAGTTTGTAGCTGGACTTCTGTAGGATTTCGAAGTTAAAATTTTGCTTGTTATTTTAAATGGCATATTATTTATTGGAGGATAAGTAGGATTTTCTTAAGCAACGTAAGGTTTAGCCTGTGTGTGGTGTGCACGTATGCATGCAGAGACATTGACATGCTTACTAGTGATGTCTTGGACTTCTTAAAGAGATTTTATCTCCTTACAGTTTTTTGTGAACTTTGCTTTTGTTCTGTTATGTCTCAGTTGCTAGTTTTCCTGTAGAAGCAGGATTAATTTTTGCAGAGGATTGGGTTAGGCTTTTCTGACAGAAAATCAGGTGTTTCAGATCTGTTTCTCTTGATCATGGCTTACGTAATATCATACTTCTGTTGAAGAAAAACGTTAAGCATGCTTGACACCAAAATGTAGGGGTACTGATAATAAAAATATAGAATTTCACTGAATATTGTGTCAATCACGTCATGCATCTTTGATTTCAGTTACTTGATTAGTCTCCACTAGGTATACTCACTTCTCTCAAGTCTGTCTACATTTTAGATTTATTCATGAAGTAACACTCTGAGATATACTACGATTTGAATCGAAAAATAATTAATGTCATTAACACATTGTCTCTCACCCTGGAAAGGTTACCCCATTTAAAGAATGACATAGATGCATCTGTGAGTAAGTTATCCTAGTGTTAAAGTATTTCTAATTTATTATTAGAGAGTCTTGTGGATCTCATTTATGTATGGAAAAGTGATACCTTACAGTTAAAACCTTAGCTATAGAATTTATTTTAGCAGTGTAAAGTTAATTTCGGTTAGTGGTAGTAAGCTGTTGCAGAAGTTGCGGAAGCATCAGTGCCCCTAAATAGATTTAACAGTGCAGTGTCATATACCTGAAATAGAGAAATACATCGTTTTCTACTTAGGAACTTTTTTTTTTTTTTTAAAAGCATGGTAGTAATTATTTGAAATGTTGAAATATGAATGCTCAAGGCTTAGTCCACACTGATACTCAGTGCTGTCTAATCTGCCTGAGTGTTTGGTAAGGAGATGGTAGTTCCGAGGCACAGGAGTTTGATGGAAAAGAAAATCATTGCACTGGCCATCAGTGTGGGATTGATAGCAGGACTGTGTTCATCAAGGCTAAAGCAATGTAAGATGAAAATGTGGGATTATGGAGGAAGTTATGAGAAATGTTGTGGTATGTTCCATTTAAGTTGTTCTTGATTATCCATTGATGTGTAGTCTGAAAAATTTGAAAACGAAATGCTTAATTTTTTTCACCTCACAGTACTTGTTTATAAGCAAGGAAGCTTGTCAGTAATATAAAGCTGCCCCTATGCTTCTGAGGTTTCAATTGCAGTATTGTTTTAATTGTCTCTTTATTTTTCCAACTTACTTGGTCTTTGAGGAATGAAAATGGGAGAGACTCCATTTTCAGATACAGTCTCTGAAAATGTAATGTTTGACATAGTGAAAATTCCTCAGTTTGCCTCTGAATAATGTGTCTGGACTCTAATCCTGTAGCCCATATAACAGCTATATTCACTTAGTGAAATATTTATGCAGTTCAGTTTGCAGGAGTGAGACCCTCGTGTGATAATACGCCTATACAGAAAGTAACATGTTGTGCAGTCACAGCATGGTGGTTTTATTTGCTTAGAATAATTTCTCATGAAATATCTCTCCTGTTAATAAAATATATGGTTTTAGTTGCAAACTGGTGGGTGTGGGTCAGAATGTAAGAATAGAATTGACAGAATGCTGCCTGAAATAGTACAGTTTTTCTTTTCATGTTCCAAGTTTTCATTTTATTTAAGATAGGTGGCTTTACAAACCTTTGAAGATGCAGGATTGGATGGTGTTCTGACAATTTCCTTGTAGGAAATTGTCAGGCAAAATATAGGGAAGCAGGTAGTTGGAATTAAATTATCTGTTCAGTTATGATGAAGTTACCCCCTTCATTCTCTCCATGTTTATAACTATCCTTTTAAGCAGAGTCATCATCATAACTGCCTATAGAAGTTAATTCCAAGAAGGTACTATTTGCTGGGTAAAAAGTAACATCTAGAAAAAGATGTTTGGCCTCTGTTTCTTTGAAAATAAAAGGACATTCAAATTAGGAGGCAAAATGAATGTAAACTTTTTGTATTTGTATACTGCTATCATGTCGGTGTGTACTGTACTTATGTAGTGGATGCACTCATTTTATCTGTCCTTCATGTGTTGAAACCTCTCCCTATGCCATTGCCAGTGCCGTTCTTCTAACCCTTTTTGTTTCAGATCTGGCTCTTTTTACTGTAAATATTTAAACCAAATTCAGTATTTGATATATGATCGTCTTATTAAAAATGCTTGTGCATATGTCAGTCGATTTTTGTATCCTCTGTTAAAGAGTGTAGCTGCATGAAGCCTTACAAGTTCAGTGGGGTTTTTTTCTGAAATATGGTGGGAAACAATCGTGAAATGGAAGGCTGCTCAGTTAGGTGAGATGTGGTGTTGTCTTGCTTTCTAACTTTAATGGTTTATCCTGTCAGAATTATAACTACTGCTGCACATTGAGCTGTCCACAATGACTCCTAATTATTTTTCTCAGAAGACTGGACTAATTTGAACTCATCAAGTATTTAGATAAAAATCATTTCTCCTTGTGTGCATTACATTATATTTATTTGCATTTCATCTGCTGTTGTATTACTCAGTTTTCTAACTCAGTTAGATCTTTCTGGAAATCTCTATTCTCCACAGTTTTTACTAACCCAAATAGTTTCCTACTACTGGCAAATTCTACTGTTTCACTGTCTGCTTCCACTAATCAATGTTAACCATTGTTTTTAATGTCTGATGTACACTACATGGTTAACTTCTACACTCTCTGAGCATCTTGGTTAACGTCTTGGTTATCTGAACCTTACTTGCGAGAGAAAATTTTTCAGATGATCGTAGGCTTGGAGAAGCAGTCACTAGAGCTGAGCTGAGAAGTCTTTCAAGTACATAGTATAAGCTTTCTCCTGTTGTTTATAAAGAGCTGAAGTGCTTAGCAAGAGCTTCAGCACAGTTTTGTTTGAAAGCGCACAGCGTCTGACTTTTGGGGAGGTCTTGCCATTGAAGTGACCATAGGATTCAGATAATGAAGTTTCACCAAGGCACAAGGGAGAAATCCAGGCATTCTCGAAGTGTCAAATGTAAAATATAAGTTACAGCAGTATTACATTTGAAGTACATTTGTCCACATTTATACGTTATAATTTTTTTTTGCTGTAGGATGGAACCTAACAATGTGAATGCTATGGGAACATACTGCTGATCAGATCAGTGAAAATTTGTATTATTCTGATCTGGTAGGGGTTAGTTTAAATTTGTATTATACTGACTGTATGGATGAGCTTTTTGTCATTTGTAACTTGTTTTTGTATGAGTAATTAGCTTAAGTGTGTGTGTTCTAAATGCAGAGACACGTGGATAGGAGCAGAGGAGACAGCAGAAAAGTAGGGAGATTAGTGTTTGACTATTCATGTTATACTGACTAAGAAGCTCTAGCATGATGGCACTTTGCTGTACAACAAAGAGGTGGTTTTTTGAGCTGTATATAAATCGTCCAGCAACTGGAACATTTTCCCAAATTGAATTTATTTCTATGTAGATCAAGTAATACTTGAAGAATGGACAATAATTTTTGAGCCCATTTTGCCTTTTTTCTACAAACTGTCTCTAGTGCTCAATATATATCTTCTTTTTTTTTTTATACTTATGATTTTCTTTCTGTATTCAATAACTCCTTCCTTTCTCAGGTAAGATAAATTGTGACTTCTTATTTATCAAACTTATGCTGTATTTGCTTCAAAATCTGTTTTTCTTAATAAAAAGGAGTTATTTCTTGAGAAGCTTAAGAAATGTATCACTGTTGTGGAGTTTTTTGGTTTTTGTTTTTCATAAACTCAGGTGGTTTCAAATAATTGTAGAATACAAACCAGTAACAAACACAGATTCTGGATGATATCAGGGTGGTTTTCAGCAGGTTGTCACACACAACAAAGACTGGGAAAATAGAGCTCTTGTTTTTGGAGGTTTGTTTCTGAAGATGGGAGCCATTTTTAGTGGTCAGAACATGTTTCCGAGAGGTTGGTGAAGTAACATTAAAAGTTCTTCTCACCTGAATTCACTTGAGTTGGTGCACAAAAAATACATGACGAAGGAAAGTGTCTGTTCTGTGGGGTGTTTGCTGCCTAAATGAGTAACATACTGTATGATCTTTCCCAAAGGGAAGCTGAAGAATCCAAAGCAGGTTATAAAATAAAATGAAAAGTTCTCATTACTGGTGTTCAGCTGACTAGTTCAAATCAGAGGCATTCCTTGTTATTAGATACATTTCACTCATTTATGACTTCTTTTTCTTTCTTCATCACCTCTGCAGCAACTCTTACAATGTATATCATACCATTTTATTCATGTGAGTTCAGTATCAATAGCCCCAAACTGAAGGATTTTACAGTTTTGCTTTTTTTTTTGGTTGAAGTAGTACAAAATGTCAAAAATTAGAAGGAAGGTCACAGTGGAAAATACCAAGACCATATCCGATAGCACATCCCGAAGACCCAGTGTGTTTGAAAGGCTTGGACCCAGCACTGGAAGTACTGCAGAGGTGAGTTGTGAAAGTGTTCTTCTTTTCCTCCCCACCCCAGCATCTTCTTTTCCAGGATTTAGGGGAAAGGAAAGAGTAGCTCACAAGTACCAAATACTTGGGTGTCACTGATGTTAGTAAAGGTGAAAAGAACTCCTTAAAGCGTGGATGTTCATCATACTAATACTAGAATTTTCAAATAACGTGTGTTGTCCCAGCTTCTGGAGAGGAGCAGTAGTACTGTACCTATCAATAGTATTTCCACCAACCTCAATTTTTCTCTGCCAGACCTGATGCTCATTGTTGATTATTTTTTTTAAATTATTTATATTACTGGTGGACAGAAATTACAGATAAATGGGAGTTAATGTGGAGTCATTTGTTTGTTCTGCCACACTCACACCAATGGTATTTCCAGAAATGAGTGTGAAATTCACCCAGTAATGTCTGTCTCTTAGACACAGTGCCGTAACTGGCTGAAGACTGGCAACTGCCTCTATGGGAACACATGTAGATTCGTACATGGCCCTTCACCACGAGGTAAAGGCTATAGCAGCAGTTATAGAAGGTAAATCAAGAACTCACTTTGAATTCTTCACATGCTGTAGGAAAATAGTTTTTGCAACTATGTCTTCTGTTTTTTTTTAAAAAAAGTGAAATGCTGTGGTGTGCCTAATGGTATGTTTTATTGATAACCAGTTGCGTTGTGAAGCTGCTCAAAACAATTAATTTGGCGACTTGCACTGGGTTTTCTGAGGATTTTTGTGTGTATGTAGCTTGTAAAAAATTAATGGAGTCCGCTGGATGCAGATTAACTTCTTATATGACTTGAAATGGGAAGTTCAAGTACCTTAATACATTTTTTTTTTTTTGCCGTAGTGTAACTGCAGCTTCGGATATGCCTTTCTGTCCTTTACTAAAATACTGCTTTGCAACTACTTACAGCAGTACTCATATACTTGCAGCCCTTCTACCTTTGCTATATTGCTTGATGAATAAGGTGTCTATCCTTTTCTCTCCTGTTGTGAGAAAACACTTCTCTTCAAAACATAGTTTTGTGACTTTATCTGTCAAATACAGAACAAATACCCTATGTCATAGTAAGAGATCCAAGAATTTACTTCATTTTGCAGAAGAGAAAATTTTTTATTGTCTGCCTTTTCATATTTTACCGTAATTTAAACATTTTTTTCCTACTGTCCTTTGTGTGGCATAACACCTTACTTAACTGAAACTAAATATGGGAGTAAATTTGTGATATTCTTACTATAAAGGACAAAAAGATAGTACAGTTTTAGCATAATACCTCTTTGTATGAAGACTTCACATTTTACAAACAACTGTGCTTCATAATGGTACAGTAATGTCAATGTTGCCTCTAGATTATGGATGGGCACACTGAAGCATCAAAGTGTAAAGCAACAACAGGAAGGATGGCATGAGGTTAGGGTTCTGTTTCTGGTTCTTTTTCCTATTCCTGTGGCATACTCTCAGGACGATCTTGACTTTGCTTGTTTGATCTTTCCATTGCTTCTAAGATGGTAGCAGCTGGGGTACAAAATATATCGTAGAGTTAGTGTTTCTTTTGTTGTGTAAAAGATTGTACTCTGTTCTGTACTGAATGTTCCAAATGGGAAAAAAAACAGTGATTTAGTGGTAGAGATTGAATTGAAAAACTGTTAGAATGTCACTTTCTACTTCATTTCAGTGTTTGGAACACTTAGTGCATAGTTCTGCTTGGTCAGTTGAAGAACAGTCACGTTTCTTTTAATGATTAAAGCTTTATTTCTGCTTTACTGTTGCCACTGACATTTAAGAATCATGTTGATTTGCTGCTTCTTATGGCTAACATTTTTTTATGAGGACTGTATGAAAAATTCAAAGGGCAGATCTTACTGCTTATTTGTCTGATACATTCAACATTTAATAGAGGTGTTCTTAAAAATAAAAAGGGGGAGGAAGCCTCTGACTACCCCCCCCAAAACAGACAAAAGAAGCATGCTTGTCTTTCGAAGTTTCTACTGATAGCTCTTGGTCAGGCACAGAAAAAGCTGGTTTATGTATATAATAAAATGTTGGCATTTTCATGCCATTTAACACTACAGAGATTGTTACAAATGTTATCCAGGTATTTTGAATATAATTTTACTGGCTTCTTGCAAGTCAGCCTATTGCTGCTTCCACATCAGTCCAAACAGTATTCTTGTTAAAAGTGTCTGGGACAGCATAATGGTGGCGTGTCTACGTGTGCTTAGCCAGGCCTGCTGGTGAAGTCTTTTGTCTGCTTTGTGAGCAGTTTGGGAGGACAAAGCACGTCTTTTTGCCTTTCTGTCTTGCCCCTCTAATTTCATACCTGTCTTAAATAAATCTCGTTGTTAATGGCTTTATTTGGCCATAGTGCCTCCCATAGTTCAGAACATCACAAGACAGTAGGAAAACTTGACTCTAAAGTGTGAAAAACTCTTAAATCTAGTTTCGTTAAAATTCCATTTCAACATTAATGCTGCCTCTCATAGCATGAATTTTAATATTTCTGTTATAAAAATAAAACCTAGCATGTTTTTACATATAAAGCTTTCCTGATAAGGATATTAAGAATTCATTAATAGACCTGACAGTCTTCTAGGCATCTGAAGTAAGGAGAAGCTAACAAGGAAAGAGCTGTGTGTAAACATGCTGTCCCACAAGGGATTTTGCTCTTTTGCTCCACTCATAGATTGTTTGTTAGTTGCTTGGCAGCTTCCTGCTGGTTATTTTATACTGTTGTCAGCATCCATGCCATCGTAGCATCCCTCCCTTAACCTGTCTAATCCTCGTCATTCTGGAACATTACACTGGATTTAAAAACCAAACCAGCAGTAATATTAGGTAAGAACGTATGGATTTTGTGAGGTTCAAATATTGTTGTATGGGAAACTGAAAAAGCAGGACAGTATTTCATGAGCATTCAGTCATAATGTGTGCATTATACACTAATAATTGTCAGCTGCCTATACATGCACACACATACGCACAGATATTCCCGGATAGTGTGCCTGTTGCTAGGGAGTTGTTCCTGACACTGTAAGAGGTACAGAATTCTGCAAATGGAGGCGCTGCTATGAATGTGCAGCTCCTAACCAAGCTGCCGAATATGGAGAACTGAACTGTTGCAGGAAGTAATGCTGTTTAATACACTTAATTGGACTGCTTAAAATTTGAAATGATGAAATTCTGCGTTTTAGACTTTATTTAAAGGATGTCCCCAGCACAAAATATTAAGTTATTAAAGAGAATTTTTTGAATAGTTTCTTCTTTCACTGTGCAGAGATAATGCTGTAGAGCCTTTTGCGTGAAAGGTTCTACCAGTTGCAGTCTAGCCACATCGTCTTAAACTGTAGAAGTAAAATTGTAGTTATCTGTTGAAATTCAGTATTGTTCATTACCTGGAAAAACCAAAGGCCCCTTTTGGAGGGGAGGAGGAAAAAAAAAAAGTTATGTAGAAAAGAAGCCATTGTATAAACATTAAAATTGGGGTACATCTGAAAGAAAAATCGGCTAGTAGGCCAGCTTGTTTTTCTGTGCATTAAGCCAAAGTATCTAAAAAAGTCACAGCTTCCTGAGTAATTATTTCTTAAAATATATGACAAATTTTCAGTCTTACTTTATTAGTCTTTTTGGGGGGGATTATGATGTTATGATGTTTCTTGGAGGGGTAGGATGGTTACCATGACTTTGCTCCAGCTTTCTCCTAAAGCTAAAAAAAAAACCCAAACAAAAAACCACGAACAAAGCCCAACCCTGAAGCTATAGCTTTTTTAAATTTCTGTGATTTCTTGATAAGTTTTGTAATCTTTAAGTAGATTTGAATAATGTTTTAACAAAGTAAGTTTTTTCTTCCCTCCCATACTGAAAAATGTATTAGTTGAGAGTGAAATGGCTTGGATGTTTTTTCACTCCAGCATATAACTTTTTTTAAAAAATAACAGCCCAGTATTAAAAAGTCAGATGTATCTCTAGAAAGTACACGAGATGCATTCAGTTCTCTTGCTTTCTCCTTCAGCTGCTGAGGTTTTTCCTGAAATTGCTTCTGGTGAGAAACAATGTTACCAGTACATTATCTATAACCTTTTTGACTTTTAAATTAGTTTTCAGTTTCACAAATCAAAATCCTTTATGCCATAGCTGAAATATTGTTCAAAATTAAGGCATTGAATTGCTGCTTTAATGTTGAAAGAGAATTTATTTGTTGAGGTAGCTGATGGTTGGAATGCTTCAGAGAGTTTTGATAATGTGAAGGAATTATATTTCTAAGATGAGAGGAGGGGGAAAAGAAAGATACTTTGAATCATAACCTTTGCTAAAGCCAGGCATTTTAAAGATGATATAATCATGCATGCAAAGAAGATAACTTGTTTATATTTGTATGCTGGATATTATTTGATCCTTCTTAGTGCTGAGAGAAGCAGCATGCTACTGTTTTGTACCTTTCCTCTGATCTAGTGACCTGTATTTACAACTTTGTGAAGAATTAAATGCATTTAAAAGTGTGAGCAGTCACTGTTCTTTTTCTTGTTAGATCCTAAAACTTATGACAAAGTTTAAATAATGAAATATATAGATAACTTTGCAAAAGAGGAAATGGAAAGCAATTACTGTGTTTCAAGTATGCACAGGTTGAAAATGAAATCATATTAATTTGGATTTTTGTATGCATAGTCTGCGAAAGACAATTTACCCTTTATGTATTATGTGACAGAGGAAGGGTGAGAGAAACAGCCCTTTCCAAATGGAAACCCTAATTCAGTCTGAAAAACAAAACAAATGCAAATTTCATTGTTCAGATATTATTAATAACTCTTCTAATCAGCGAGGCAGCTTTAGTATCTCTTTGTGATTCTTTAGTGTCAGCTGGTAGGTACAGATCCAGTACTTCTCAGGCAACCATTTCACAGAAGAATCTGTAATTACAGCTAACAGCCATCACAGAAGTACCAAACTCAATATCAAGACAGATGTATATGAAGAGAAAATTTCTTCTGTTGAATGGAAAGATCTTTTGAAGCAACTCTTACATCTCCTTTGCTTAGGAACTTGTTTAAATGTGAGGGTTGTTCTCTTTTAACCCATAGTGGATAAATGAACTTGGGAATACTGAGGTGACAAAATTATATAGATGTCTTGTAGTGTAGATTGTTTGCCCTCCCTTCCCACATCACAGTAATATCTTTTACAGAAGATACACCTTAAAGTTGCATGACTAGTAGAATTCATCCAATATTTTGTAATTAAATAATGAAATAATTGTGTTACTGCAAGATGGAAAATGAAGGAGGCCTCCAAGAGTGAATTTCTGGTGCATAGTCTTGCAACAGCATTTTTTGTGTATCAGTCACACCAAGGTCATAGGAGGATGGCACCTAGGTCAGGTTATCTCCACTTGTGGACTTCATCCATATTCAGAGTTGTGCTTCTGTGCGACTGTCATTGCTAGTCTACAATAGTTTGACTCTGCATGAATTTTATTTTTTTATATGTATAAAAAATATATATATTATATATACATTAATAATTGGTGCAGCTTAGAATATGGAGAAGGCTAAAGACATCTTGAAAGACTTGGTAGGAGTGATTGGGAAACATGTTTGCATGATGATCAGAAGACGACTTGTTCTGAGTAGGATCACTTGAAGCTGATCTAGTGTAGTAACTGAGTCATGCCATATAAACATATAAGTAATTTTTCTTCGTAGAGTCAAGTCTTCCTTAATGTTCTGAGTTTGGTTTTTTTTTTGGAATGCTTAAGCCCATCAGAACTGAATATTTTTTTTATTCATGCACTTCACTTCTATATGCGAGGTTTTCTGTATATACTAATTAGAAAAATAATTAAAAGACAGATTGTATTCCTTTAAAAATAGTCCCATAGAACTGGTTATATTATGTTTCTGTATTATACAGGTCACCAGAAAGACCCACTGGAGATCTTCGGGAAAGAATGAAGAACAAACGTCAAGACGTTGAGGCAGAGCCACAGAAACGAAGTACAGAGGAATCGTCCTCTCCTGTTAGGGTAAGAATGGAGTTTGCAGAACTCCAGAATCCCTCAGTAGCAGTTGGGCAGTGTGTCCTAGAAACCTGATTGTGGTGACTTGTAATATTTACAATGTTTTAATGACTTGATCATTTTGTACGTAGCATGTGGCGTATTTTATTATGAAGTGTCTTAACAATTGTATGATTTTGAAATTTTATAGCACTTCCTGATCTTTTGGATCCCAAAGATTTAGACTAAAATATGTTACAAATACTGATAAACAGCTATTTAATAACAGTGCAGATTCTTTGATTAGTAGCAAGCAAATATATTACCCGTTGTTCCAATCGTGCGCTGTTTTTACCTGGCATATATTCATACCCATTGTTCACATGCATCTTGACCCCAGCTGTTCATCCCATGCTTTTGATGAGACCATGCAGTTACTGTTGTGCTGGTTCATTTCACTTTCCTCCTTACATACTCATGACCCATCCCAACTACTCATTTTTGGATTTTGCAAAAAATTCATTATTGTTCTCATTTCTCAAGCATATTTCTGCAATCCAATACCCCTCAAATATGGGAATTTACTTATTTTTAAATTGTGTTATCTGTTCCTGCACTGATGTTACAAAGAAATAGGAGCAGAGCTGGTAGTGTGATCCTGCACCTGTGTAACAATAGCACCAGTGTATTCCTGCATCATGTTTTTTAAGACCATCTTCATATGAATAATAATTTAAAGATTTTATTTGTAAAAAATCAATTTTGCTTCTGCAGGTATTAACGACATTCCTTTTTTTTCCTCTCAATCTGTTCCTACTTGCTATGTAAAATTAGTTTTTATGTCAGGTGTAAAGAAATCAACAGCAGCTGCTATCATTAAATTAACAGAATGGCTTACCTTCCAATCATGTTTTCAGTTGCTGTTGTGTAAACTTTCAATCTTTCTACTCTATTGCTTAAATGTGTTTCTTTTATTTTCTAATGATTTGAATAAAATGTTCAGTTATTGAGTACATGGTTGGTGGGAAAAGTGTTTTTTCTGACTGGTATTAAAAATTTACTGTAACAACTTCTGTCCTGGTACAACTCTATTTTTGATGTAAATCTTACTTTTGGTTAGTTATCCGTGCTTTTTATAGTGTTCTATTAATGTGACATTAAAACACTGTTAAACAGCTAAACCCCATGTAATCATGAACTGGAAGCAAGAATCAAAAGGAATCGAAGAACTTAGTGGGTCTGTTAAAGTACCAGAGAATTATTTACAGCATAAGCACTCTGCAGAGGAAAAATTACTCTGCTTCAATCTTGTAAAACAGAAGGCTGAGGAAACCACTGAGCTTTTGTACTAGGTGCATGGAGCAACTCTCAAAATACAGGATATCCAAAGAAAATACTCTGGAACAAATAGATGAAGAGGGACAGTCGTCAAGAGTTACATTGCAGAGAACAAGGATATCTAAAAGAACAGAAGATTGAAGTGACTGAACTGCTGACCAAAATCTTGCTCCATCATTAGAGCTACTGTTATGGTAGAGATCTGATATCTGACACTTCCATCTCTTATTAAAGCTTTTGGGATAACAGAGGAGCTGGATAAGATATCTTAAATTTGTTTGAGATTACAAAAGGTAGCTTGTTCCATAAAAAAATTCATAATTGTGGTTTGAGAAAAAAAAAAGAGCAGCGTTGTTCCTGCAGACAAAATTTGTGCTTCACCAGTACTAGCCTGAATAATGGAGAGTAGAGAGAGAAGACTGAGAACTGTCTGATACAGGTGAAACCTTAAATAGCTTCAAAAAACAAGGCTTTTGAAGCATACAGATAGTCAAAGAAGAACAGGTATAATATTGTCAGGTTTAGAAGCCAACTAGGGGAAACATTTTTAGATTAATTTCAAATGATGAATTTACAGAGGATGCTATGGTGCTTCATCTAAAGAGCTATAACTTTTTAAGAGTGTGGAAAAAATGTTGGACATCCCAGATGTCAAACTTTGCAGAAGATACAAAAAGAGTAGTTGAGATTACTAAAGTCTGAGGAATGCCATAGGGATTGGGGAAGGTTTTTGGCAGTACAATGGCAGATGAAACCTGGTGTTGGCAAGTGCGAAGTAATGCACAGTAAAGAAAGTATTTAAAACAAAAAATCATGAATGAACATTTTAAAAGTAACTGAAACCGTCCAGTAGAAAAAGAAGTTATTGTGGACAGCTCAATGAAACCATCTCTTCAAGTGCAGTCACAGTTGCAGAAGCAAACCCTCAGATACATAAAAATGGAATAGAAAATTATCAATATTATGTTGTAGACGAATATTATGTTAATGGTCCAGTTTTATTTGAAATGCTGTTTGGTTGGGATCATCTGTATGCAAGAAAATACAGTCTTTTTGAAGTGGGCAAGGAGATAAGAAAGATACTGGAGAGAAGAAAGGACATGTGGCGAATGTATGTAATGTATGATTGAGAGAATGTAAATTAGGTGCGTCATATTCAAACTTTATCCCAGTGGAAAGCGTGGCAAACTTGAAAATGACAAGAGGAAATGCTATTTACGTTATATATGACAATTCTGCCTGATTGCTAGAAGATACAGTCAAAAACCTGAGTAGGTTACACAAAAAGTTGAGACAGTATAACTAGTATAAAATCTTTTTAGAAGAGAGTTCTTGTTCGTTGGAGATGTAAGATAACTAGTGCAATCTGTATGTCCGTATAGGGAGTTTCTTATAAATACAGTTTATAGAATATATCCCACATCAGTTTTTTTTTTTCCTGTGCCGAACTATTATTTTCAGAGATAATATGCTGCGTTACGTGGACAACTGCATTGAACTCAGTTGTTTCTGTGTTTCTCAAATTTGTGTTTGGAATTATTTCACCACTGTATGTTAGTGTGTCAATTATTATACAAATAATTAGATAAGGTTCCTGGCATTATTGTATTTAGTTGGAAATTTTGATGTTGAATTTTTCTCCATATAATGAGAAGACAGTTACATTGGAGTTTTTGAAGTGTTACCTGAGAGGTGTGTGTCATTTGGGAGAAACAGTGGGAAGAACTTAATGTACATTTAGGAAAGGTTTTTGTAAGGTATGTGTATCACTTGTTTCATGTCTGTGCTTTTTGTCACTGGCTTTTGACTATCTCCACTGGAAATGGAAGTCAGCATTGTCTTCCATCTCTGGAATGCAAACAATACCTGTTCATTTCAGGGAAACTTCAGATTCATTTTCTTGTATGTTTGTGTAGTGTGGTGGTAGTTTACACTATAAAGGTATCATACGTAGAGCAAAATAGCACTGTGCTTGCCCAAAAGATTCTAGCCGTAATATGTGATAGCTTGTTCTAGATTTAAAGGAATCTGCTGTTTTGAATAAGTTTATATTTCTGCTGCATGTACATGTGCTGATGAGGCTGAAACCGAAGCCTCTGCCTTAGAAGAATTGTAGGTTGTAAGAGTCTTTTAAATATTCTCTCCATCAGTGTTGGCAAAATAGCACTTCTTGGCTGGAAGCATGTTTTGCAGACTGGATGTTTCCTATTGTGCTTGGCCAAACTCTTCTGTCTGGAGTGGGAAATTGGTTCAAGTAGACATCAAGTGTTGTGCTGTACAGTGCTGATCGTATCTTACTGGGTGTGGAACTTCGACTTAAGTAGACAGTCAATTAAATAAAATCTCACAGCATTCATCCATACTGTAGTGGGGTTTTTTTCTTTTTTTCATTTCTTAAGTAGCATTTCTCCTGAATGTCAGCATTAAACTGTAATAATTTGTCCAACACATGTAAATAGTTTAACTGTGAGCACATATCTGAAAACAGCATAGACAGTCTGCTAAGTTGTTGTTTACTCTTAGGACAATCTGCAACAATTTTTTTAAGTAAATAATTGTACTATTATGAAAGTTACTTATATCTCAGCTAGTAAAAGGCATTGTTTCAGAATCTGCAGAGAAATAGTTTACAGGCGTGGCTGAAGTGGATACAGCATCTTCAAGTATGAGTGAAAGGCATGCTATTGGCCATTAGGAGCTTGGTTTATTTTGTTATTGGCTTATTAAGAGAGAGACAAAAAAAACCTGTGTAAAATGCAAGAGGGTCTAGAAGGATGTGAAGGAAATACTTACTCCCCATAGTATGAGAGAGTTAAATGTGTTGTAAGTGGAACAAGTACGATAAAAGGAATATGTTGAAGACTTTTTTCATGAGAAAATCAAAACACATGTTCTAAACTATCATAACTTAAATTCTTGATTTGTGTGCCCCAGGAAAATATACTCAATTTCTAAACTGAGATTTGTTTTTCAAGATGCAGTGTTACCAGAGTCTTTTTTCCTGGCAACTAAACTGAAGTCATTTAGTGTATGAAAGGGCTCGGGCCAAGTTGTCCCTACTTGTAAAATAGCATGCTTGCATAAAAATTGTCTATTCCCTTCCTTTATATTCCGTAATTCAATAAAATTCCTTTCATAGATGTTTTTGTTCTCAGTTCTTCTGTGGAAGTATGATTGTGCCACTACTGCATCTCTCCACTGAAAGGAGAAAATACAGGCAGTTTCAAGACGCTTGTGTTTGGTTATAAGTTTGGAGATGTAGGCGAGATGCATACAAGTTGTGTAGTATTTTTAAAGTGGGTTATTAAATTGGTCTTGAAGCATTCTGATTTATCTGCACATTCTCTGCTGACAAGTTATTTGGGGATTTGGCTTGGAGAAGTTTTTTGAAATTGGTATACAGAGGATGTTCTAACGTGTATTGAAGTTCGCTAGTAACAAAGTGTTGAATTAATAGAAACCAGTATTTTTATTTTAAAAAGTGTGTTCATTGTTTGTTTATATTGTAGGAATTACTTGGAGTATATGGCAGAACTACACAGTTTAATAGAACAGATGCAGCCTTCAAGGAGAGCTGTCTAGAAAAATTAAGATAATCTAAGAAAAAAAAAAAAGAGTGGTTGCAGGAGAGACTTGTTGATAAAGTTACATATTTTCAGATCTCATCAGAGTCAGTTTCTTTTAAAGTAACTTGCTTTGGAGTGTAGAACAGTACTTTGATTCTTAAGAGTGAAATACCTTTAGTACATGTTGTGATGATGGCTTAGTTGGTGTAGACTTGTGTGCAGTTGATGTCAGCAACCAACACGACTTGATAGGTTAGGAGCTTGTGCATCGTTTTAAAGATCCTGTCATGAAATAGAGAAAAATAACTTTTTTTTTTTTCCTTATTCTACAAGCTGCTTTAAATTAAACATGACGCAAATTAGTTCTTTAATGTGAGGTTGCTTCGTGTTATGTAGCAACCGGTCAGTTTTTTCCAAACCTTCTGAGGCTTTGACTATGATATACTGAATACATCAAGATGAGAGTCTTGAAGATAACTGTTCCATTGAAGAATTTTTCTAGTTCACTGGTTAAAATAAATGCAGTACTTGTTCTGTCATCATTTACGTCATTAAATTAGAGATAAGATTTTAACGTAGTTTGTGAATAAAAAGGGACAGTTGGATTTTACTCACGTGGGAGTGACTATCCACACTTGGGAGTGACTATCCACAATGTTATTTCCTTACTCTGTTTCTAAGGTGATGGTAAGGATTTAAATTAAGTCAAGATCTAAGTCCCAATAAGGAATAGCTAGTGAAATTCTCAGGCATCTCCTTTTCTTGGCGTAAAAACAAAGGTTCCTACATATCGACACTGAAGAATCCCCAAAAGACAAAATAAGGCACTATGGGAGGTGAGAACAAAAGAGATATGGGACAGACTTTCATTATTTGCTCTTTCTGTTTTCCTGCTTAATAAATTAACCTGAGATACTTCTCTAAGCTTGAATGTTCTTGTTTAGCAAATAGTGAAAAATCTTTGTCCCGTACTCCACTTGAGCCACATAGATAATTTAGAGAATGTCAGTTTGGCAGAGGCAAGAATGCAACTATGCTGCTTTACTACTGAAATTTAGCAGGGGGAGAAGGGCAGCACAGGTTCAGTTGCCTTTTGAAATTATCTTCTTTCCTGTAAGAACAGTCTCTGGCTGCCTTAGGTATGCACAGGACCATATACCACATGCAATATGGGTGCTACTGCAATAATTAGACTTGTCTAACAACTCGGGGCCAGTGAAAGTTCAAATATAAAGCTATCAACAAAACTTGATTGCAGTGTGTTACTTCAGACTTTTTCCCCTTCCTTCTGCCAGCCAAGTGTTTCTGGTGTTTTTTTTTTTATTATTATTTTATTATTCCCCCCTCCCACTTTATCCTCTGGAGAGTTAAATGGTTCAGCTTCTGAGGCTCATCTGCCTTGCATATCAGTACTCTTATTTAGAGCTGAGAACTCTTACTCAAGCTGCTAAAATTATACTCTTTAAATGTTCATTAAACTTCTGGTCTTGAGAGCCTGATCTATTCTTTCGGTTCCTGTTTTAAACTTTATTCTCCGATACATGCTAAATTCTTGCCCTGCCTTTAAACCTTCTTATTTTATGGATCCTTTCTTCTCTTTTCCCTTTTCCCTGTCTGCTGTTTGCATATTGATTGTATGAAAATGCGTTAGAACATGTTGCCTGTGGAGTCTCTGCTTATTTAAGAAGGTATTTGTTCCACAGGCGAAAGGGGAAAATGCTTTTTGTACTATAATAAACAGCCAGCCCAAATACCATGTAAAATATACCTACTTCTTCAGGCTTCTTTTAAAATAAAGTTGTTTACTCTAATGCAGTATTTTTCCCTTTATAGAAAGAGTCTTCACGAGGAAGACATAGAGAAAAGGAAGATATCAAAATCACAAAGGAGAGAACACCAGAAAGTGAAGAGGAAAATGGGGATTGGGAAACAAATAGAGAAGGTAAGTGTAATTAAACTAATGGTCCCCCTACAGCTCAAAGAATTGCAAGGTTACTGGACTGTATATAAAGCAGAATATTTAAAGATATAGTCTCTAAGCAGAATACTTTTATGCAGTAGCCATTAGTGTTTATTTCTGGAGGAGAGCAAAGAAGCAATCTGAGTTAGACTGCTACAGTGGTAAAACCAACTTATTTTGAAAACATGCTTTTTTTTTCTTTTTGCTTTTTTTTGACTCGTCTGACAACAAGGAACTTGGCCATAGGCTACGCTGTGGCTGAACCATTAGATCACTGGTTGAATCCAAGGTACATCCAATGTAATTTTGTAACTGATCGGTCTGAGGAGAGAGCATAACTCCTTTGAATTGAAAAGTCAGCAGGTTTTTGTTGCATCATTTGTAATGGTGTGAACTGTCTCATTAACAAGGGCTCCATTAGAATGAGTAAAACAGCTAGAGGTAGCAATTGGTGAGCTATTTATATTTTGAAAACACTCGAGTGGTAAGAGTCTGGCATTAGCCTTCTGTAGTAATTTTTGTTTGGGTGGGTGGGTTTTTGTGGTTTTTAATAGTTTAAAAGGTGATTTTGTTGTCCTTGTCAATAATACGTGCCTGTTTAATATGCACACAGTTGAGGAAATGACTGTTTCGCCCTCTCTGTCCTGAGTTGCACTGTTAGAGACCGAGATCACCTGACAGTGAGGTTGTGACAGCTCTCATGAACTGTGTTGTTTACGTAGTTACAATATTGCAAGAGAAGATGGGAATCCTGATCCATTCTGAGTGGATTCAGATATAATGAATGTATTTGCAATAATGTCTTAAGTCTTAAGACACTGAGGCTTTCAGCTTGAGAATCATGATTTTTTTCAAAATAGTGTTGATCATAGTTAGGTGGATGAAGTAGAATTACTGTCTGTTAAGTTCTAGTGAGGGCTGTGTAGGCAGACAGATGGACTGGAAAAGAACCTATGCAGTTGGCAGCTCGCCTCTCTGTAAGCTGTTCCCATGCGTTCATGATACATGAAGGGAATTTGTAGACTTGAGTTTAGAGTTTAGTTATTGAAAAACCTTTTATATAGATTCTGTGTGTAGGAAGGGGAGTGAAAGCTAATGCCTTTTTAATGAAGTCATCTTTTCTCTCACAGTTGTTTTCATAAAGTGCTTTTTGAGCATTAGACTTAAATAGCCATAAACAAAATAAGAAATGTAAACAGTGAGTAAAACTGCTTTAATTCTCAGTAAAATTTCAGTTGCAAGGCTTGAAGCATCTGATGTTAACTAGCCATGACTTAATGAAAAAGTGAGAGAAATAGTACCTTTTCTGATGTGAAAACCAAACAATAATAATGTTTTAAAAACAGAAATAAACTCCTGAAGTGTGCATTTATCCAGTGAAAGAGGTCATACAGGCCTCTTCTTTTATTTTAAAATCAGTTACTAGGCGTAATTAAATAAGTGTATCCGTTGATTCGTGGGATACTCTATCAAACAAAATCCTCTAGTATCATGTATCACTATTTAAATCCATTTCATGTGGGATTTCCCAATTAAGTAGTGCTCTACATATTTTTAGTCTTTGTGAAGACACACGTTTTTCTTTTTTTGTTATTTAAATATAAATAAATGGTTTACTGGGTTTCCCTTGCTACCTCAGCTTAATAATTGATACAAGTCTCTGAATTAAGTTAAGGTGGTTTTTTTAATGAAGCTTGAGAATTTAACTGCAGGTTATGTGGAAGAGATTTGGCTTAGCTTCATTGATCCATTCATGCAGTGCTTAAAGTCACAGAAATATTTATGCTTGACCTCCAGTGTGCTAAATATTATTGTTTATTTCATATGTGATTGTTTACCAATCTATTTAATTTTTTTTTAATAAAGACTCTGATAATGGAGATGTTAATTATGATTATGATCATGAGCTGTCTTTGGAAATGAAGCGCCAAAAGATTCAGAGAGAACTCATGAAGTTGGAACAGGAAAACATGGAGAAACGAGAGGAAATAGTCATTAAAAAAGAGGTTTGTATTCCATAAATGTGAAATTGAAAAATAAGTCGTCAGCCACTTTGTAGGCTTCTAATTGTTTGCTGGAAGACTTGAGCTTCCTGGGCTACAAATGTACTGTTGTGTTACATAGTAGTAAGTAACTGGCATGTGTATAACTTAGTATGTGGCTCGGACATTAGTTGTATCTGATCAATCATCCAGCACCATAACAAGTTTTCTGCTTTATGAAATCAGCTATTAAATGAGTAGGATTTAATGCATTTTAATGATATAAAACTAATAAGACCTTTAACAGGTAGAAAAGAACACAAGGCATTTGCCAAGCTCCTTTTCAAACATGTCTTGTAGTAACAGAGTAAAGTAGAGTGACCAGAGGCAAGGCTGTAAGTGTTAGAAGCTCTAAAATTTTGGGGAAGATTAAAAAAAAAAAAAAGCCTGAAAAGGAGGTCTTTCTTTTTCAGACAAACTTGAGTGCTAACTGGGAAGGTCCTGATTTTAGTCTTCTAGTTATGGTTTTTGTAATGTATTACAGAGTGCATTATCTTCTCTTCCTGTCATCTTCCTTTTATGGTGTTCTTTGAAAACCATGTGGTTAGTTCATTTGAGGTAGATGTGTACATGGTTAAGATCTCAGATGTAGGCTGTTACTGAATTTATGTGTTTGACACATATATCAGCATACAGGTAAGCTTTTGAGCATCAGTATCGTATCGGTTAAAGTATTCTTTTCCTCAAGATTTCTCCAGAGGTGGTTAGATCTAAATTATCACCATCACCAAGAAAGTCTAGCAAATCTCCAAAACGAAGATCCAGTCCCAAATCATCATCTTCAGCTAGTAAGAAGGAGAAGAAAGCATCTACTGTGTCTTCCCCGCTTTTGGATCAACAGAGGTCAGTATGTAGATGCATCTTGTGAGAAAGTGAGAACAGAGAACTGCACTGATTTTTATTACTGTTTTTTTCGTAATTAATATGGGGGTTTATTTTCCTTGCTTTCAGGACTTTTGATTATGTAACTTTAGGGGAAGGTCTCTAAATTGTGCACTGTGAATCATCTTCTGCAGAAAATTGTTATATGCCTGTAGTTGTCAGTTGATCAGTTTCATGGTTTACAAGCAGTTCTTTTTGAATGTCCAGAGTTTCTGTGAGGTGGTCAGGAAATGTAAACCATTAAAAAGTGGGAAGTGGTTTTGTTTGAGATGCTGCAGCCTGTGAAGTAGCTCTGCTAGACTGAAGTGAAATGTTTATAATTTGGCTGACTGCACACTCTATTGATAGTGCATATTTCTGTTCAGGAAATAACGTATGACTTTCAAGGCAAGGAATTTCTCAGAATTCGGGAGGGGAAAGAGGTAGGGGATGGGGTGGGGAGGGGAATAAAGTAAGGACAAGGCATGTGAAGATCGCAGGAAGTTCAAACTGAGTGCCATGCCACAAAAAGTCAGTCTCCAAAACCTGTTTTGAAGTTCTTGCTGGCTGCAGGACCTTTTGAATCACTGTTTGCAGCTTTTAGATAGGAAAGAAATTACTGCAGCAGTGTACGCAGACACATCTGTATTTGCTAAGCAAAAGTCCCCTTTAAAATAGGGACAAAACAATGTTGTTTCTGCTATGAGAATGTACAGTATGGGCTAGTATGCTACTGACATTCAGTATGCAGTGATATCTAGTTTATAGGGTTTATGTCAGTGGTAGTTTGTATGGAAAAACATACTATTTCATACTCTGAGATGCATGTTCAAAAATGCTTTGAATGCTTTATCCTCCATCAGGTAGTTAACTTTAAATCAAAGACATGAATTGTTCAAGTCATTTTGTGTATGTGATTGGGGTATTGCATTGCAGAAACGGGAGTCTAAACAGACAGGGTGATACTCTGTAGAGTTCTGGTCCTCTGTTGTGCGTAGGTCATGCAAGGGCATTTTAACTGGGAAAACTGGTTCTGTCTCAGTGGAAGCAATTCATATTTTTGTTCACTTGCTTCAGAAATAAAGGTTATAAATGACAGAGCTCAATGTGAATTTTTACCAGCTGCATTCACCCTTCACTCAAGTACAGTTACTGAGCGCTGATTGCTAATGGAGTGGTAAATCCTATCCTAAAAGCTTCAAGGCGCTTTAGGTTATGCCAGCATCTGAGAAATCATTATTTGAAATAGTTGGCAGTCCTTCATTTTTTTTTCCCTCCTGTTAATTTATCTCTAGGAGTTCTAAAAGTAACCAGAGTAAAAAGAAAGGCCCTCGTACCCCTAGTCCTCCTCCTCCAGTACAAGAGGAAACTCCCCTGGGGAAAAAACACAAAGAAAAACATAAAGCAAAAGAACGTTCAGAAGAAAAGGCAAGGGAGGTGAAAGAGAGAGGACGTGACTTTGAACGGCACAAGGAGAAAAAAGAGAAGCAGAGGTAAGTTAAGTTGCATTATTAGCTTTTAACATTACTGTAACCTTGCTTTTAAAGTTATCTTTCATAGAACACTGAATAATGAGGGACTTACACCTGCTTTGCCAACAACCTTTTCAGAACTCATTAGATATTTTAAGTGCTTTATATAGATGGATTGATAGACTATAACTAACAGATCGGTAGGTTTTAACTACATAACTTAAGGAGTTTGTAAAATGTCCTTCTCAAAGATTCATTACTTTTCAGGAAGGTGGACCTTCACCAGTGGAGCAATTAATTTGCCAAAATCTGAGTCAAAGTCGTTCACTTGTCTGCTTGCCTGCTCTTCTGAAATCTTAGAGGACTAATATCTTTCTAAATTGGCAGTGACATATTGAAACTCTCCCTAATCTTCAGTAGGTTAAAAGTATTTCTGAAGTAGTCGGAGACAACTGCGATTTTAGAATTACTCCGCTTTTGCATATATATATCTCTCAAATGGTGGACTAATATGACTATTTCCATTATTTTCTGAAGCATAGGTGTCCATTTAAGTTGAAAAATGAAACATCTGCATTTTTAAGTCCTGTGTTCCCTTGACAAAAATAGAGTACACGTTCGTAAATGTTTACTTTGTAACTGGCATAGCAAAGACTAAAGAGTGGAAGGCCTGTGAATTGTCTGTTTTTAATTGATTAAATAAATGGCACCGTTCTTACTTTAAAATGTATTTCCCTCATGCCTGCACACTTCATTACTGGGAGAAGGTCGTAAGCAGTAGAAAAGAACATTCTAGGTAGTACTGAAAGGATCAAGAGAGTACTTGGCTTATCATTGTACTGTAATCGGTATTGCTGTGGTGACTACACGCTTTTACTTCAGTGTTTGGATTTTTGTCTTTTTTTTCCTAAATAAAAATTAAGAAATAATCTCAGATCTTCATGATGTGCAGTAAGTTAAATAGTTGAAGATTCTGACAGACCTCTTTCATTCATTTGCAACTATGATTAGTGTTCGAAAATGTCTGTGAGCTTGAGGCTTCTTAAATAAAGTTCTGACTTTAATGAAATTTTTAAATAAGGTAACAAGATAGTTCTCCATTGATAGGAATTCTGTTTCACCACCACATGAAATAGTAGGTAAAATTACAAGACTATATTTTTGGCATTACCGTATTCTAGTTCTGTATTTTACAGTCCAGTGATTAGCAAGGAACTTAGTGCATATCTTGCATTCGTGAGTTTTGCTAGCTTAAGGTAATTTCATATATGAAATTATAGATGGAACAAATAATTCTATAAGATAGTTTTTGATCTTGTAAGTACATGTTCTGTCTTGGAGTTGTTTGTAATTTCTTAGAAATGTACTAATGCCATATTACACCTGTTAAACAAGCTGCTGTTTATGTTTCCCAGGGATCCCTCAGAAAGCTCCCATAGACAGAAGCGTTCTCCTAGTCCTGCGGATCATTCTGGCAGTAATTCTTCCCCTTCCAGGGAGTATTCACCACCTGCTGCAAGGCGAAGGCAAACCTCCCGAGCTCCAGCCAAGTCAACCACTCACAAACATAGCTTCTCACCCTCTCGCAGGTGGGAGGTCAATTGCATGTATTTTATTTCCATGAATATTTCTAGTTTAGAAACTTCGTCTATTGGTTTGACTACTTGTTCATATGTGTCTGTTGTGAGTATATGTGTGCCTCAAACACTTGAGCTCTGAGACCTTTTGCCAAATTACTACATTGAGAGTACCTATCAGGTCAAAAACACAAGTCATGGTGCAGACTTCCATTTATCAGTTCCTCTCGAATGTTCTGGCTTCAGGTGGAACTTCAGAAGTCTGATTTGAGACATAGTCAGTCTGTGAACCTTTGGGAACTTTTTTTGCTTCCTCGCCTTCTTCCTTCTTAGAAAGTAGAAAATGTGGAAAGTCTTCTATCTTGGAGGTGGGGAAGCGCTGGATCCCATGCGCTTTTAGGCCTTCAGATGAGGAGATACAGAATCTTAGTCTATTGTTGAGGTGTGCAAAATACTCTTTGGCATTGGGTGTCATAAGCACATCTCAGTGGGATAGTCTCCAGGCCTGGCAAAATCTGAGCATACAAATTTACAGACATAGTATGAATTAAATTGAAAAAAAACCAGATGCAGGCCATTTTTCAGAGTGTCCTAGTTAAACATGTTCCAAAGGCTGGTTTTATTTATTTTTTTTTCTGTCTCACCTCTTTCTTTCTGCTACTTTTCTGGGTATATTTTTCTAGCAGAGAAGAAGTGGCTCAGTTGAAGTGTTATTTCAGCCTGTCCTGCAAATCTCTTTTGAATTCTCTCAATTGACAAGTCTGAAGTGCCTCAACAATCGAGTCAAGATGCTTCCTTTAGTGAATATATTTGGTTCTGTAATGGAATCTGGCTGTAAAACCACCATCTTTGTGAGATTAGTCCTATGGTAATCAACATACTATGCTGTGGGGTTCTGAAGGTAGTTTTTTGAGTCCCTGACATTAACTAGAAGGAAAGAGGATATTAATAGAAGATTATCACTATGTTGTCTTTTACCGAAAAAGGCCTTCCTTATAGACCTGAGTTACTACCTCAGGTTGCCAGTGCTTTCACTTCTGTGTCTAAAGCTTTGCTCCTTTGAAGCTGAATCATTGCTCTGTGTTCTTGACATGAGGAGAATCTTTTTACCTGTAGAGTCTGGGTCTTTAAGAAGCCTTAGCCAGGAGATCCACTGCTGAGTAGCACTGGCTGGGCAGCTGTCCGTTTGGCTCTTGGAGAGTCTCATGGCAGGCTGTAAGCCTGCTAACCTGAATTATTCCAGAGCTCATTCTCTTCAGCGCCCAGCTGACATCAGCTGTCTCACTGAGAAGAATTGTTTGTGATGTTTGCAAGATATTCAGGAAAAGCTGTGTTACATACATATCTTTACCAGCTGCTGGGCTATTGCAGAAGTTTGCAGGAAGGTACCACTGCATTTGGTAAAGTAGTCCCTCATTTGTGAGTCACCTGAATCTGAGAGCTTCATCTATATGGTCTGAATGTTTGTTTGAAGTCGCAAACACTGTATATGGACGTTCAAAAGCAGGAACTAAATTACTTAAGTGGGATTTTTGAAGATGTATTGTCCTTGTGTGGTTTTTCTGACTGTTCTTCTTTTTAGAGTCTCTGGAATTTTGTGAGGTGGAAGGGAGTTGGGAGTTAAGAGCAATGGATGTTTCATGAGAAAAAATACTTGCAAGTTGCTTTGATGCTAATAAGCAAAAAAGCACTACTGATCTCAAAGGCTTGAAGTGTGTGTTTGAAGTGTGTGTTAGACTGTGTGTGAGATAACATGTTATGAGGAAATGTGTTTACTGTTGTGTAAATGGTCTTTAGTGAAGTGACGGGATTTTGGAGATGAGACGCGCTTTGTATTTTTTTTCTTATTCTATTACATATGAGTTTTCCCTGTTTGTGTAAAAATTTATGTCTGCAAAAATTTTAAGTAGATAGGCATATGGGTGTTCAGGATTCAAGCCTAAATTGTTTAAAAATCAATGATGATAATAAAAGAAGTTAAAAGTGCACAAGAAGGAGACACTGTTGCTTTCTAAAAAACTGGATGGTGTTAGAAACAAAAGAAGAAAAATTCCCCTTAGATAACTTTTACAGTGTTAACTGCCTAATTTTACCATGAACTCCAAAAAAGCATTTTATATTGAATGAAACAATTGTTCTTGCTTTGGGGGTCAGGGAGAAGATCATGTGTTTTTCTGACTCTTCCCTTCCCACAGGAAAGCATTCTGATAGCTGTGTAATATAGTTTTGATTGGACAACTTCTTCTTGTGTATTAAATAAACTATAACCATTTAAAGATAAGCATGCTTTGAGAAGATATCCTTAGTACCATTGAGGGAAGGCTAGTTTGATGTTTTATAGAAACAGCACTTACTTTCCGCAGATAGAGGGTAGAGAATGCACAAACTGTTTTAATCACGCTTTTTTTGTAGGGTATGGTAAGAACCTTTCAGATCAAGCTATTACATGTGTGCCTATTCTAACTCTTACTTGCAGGTCTGCTTCCCCATCAGGTCAGCATCATTCTCCCATATCCTCCAGACATCACTCCTCTTCATCACAGTCAGGCTCCTCTGTTCAAAGACATTCTCCTTCCCCACACCGCAAAAGAACTCCTTCTCCATCCTACCAAAGGACAGCCTCCCCACCTGCAAGGCGATCATCTTCTCCCTATCCCCCACACTCGTCCTCTTCTCCTCAGAGGAAGCGAAGCCCTTCAAGACACCGATCTCCTGGAAGAGAAAAGGGAAGACATGATCGTGATCGAACTTCACAGTCTCATGATAGGCGCCATGAAAGACGGGATGGTACGAATAAGAAATAGCACTTCAGAATAATTTTTATTTGTTTGCAAATTGCATTTTGAAACTTCATTTTCAGATTGTGGCATTGTCTATGCCTGTCCCAATGGCTAGGGGGTGAAGAAAATACTGGCTGCATTATCATTCCTGTGCCAGTGGTGCTGTTTTCAGGGACTGTGCAATGGAGTATTCCTACTAGGGCTGCTTATGTAGGCTCAGATGACTGTGAAGATCCTGTAGGCATCTGTCTAGGTGTTTCTTGTGTAATGTAATGGTGGTGTTAGTCAGTAGGTAAGTGATCTCTTGGTATCAGGCATATGCTAGTGGATCAACTGAGTGACAGCAGGATATTTGTAAGTAACTATTACTCTTTTCTGTGAAGTGTCCAAGTGCTAATCCAGTCCTCACTGATTGCTCTGTCTGTTGTCTTCTTAACTGACATTAAGTGAGGTGTGAGCAAAGAAACAGTTGTTCCCTCTGGAAATCTGTAAAGCTGGTTAAGCAGTTTGTGATGGGCAAATATGCACTTTCTCTCAAGAGACAGATTACACAGAGTACAGATGTCACCTTTTTTTAGACTGACTGTAAACTTACCTTCCTGTAGTGGTAACATAATAAATATGGAATTAAAAAAAAAATAACAAAGAGAAAGACTTTAGCAGGGCATTGAGGTCTTAGAAGCAAGTGGTCTAAATACAGCACAAATTTCCTGAAAATATGTGTGTGCAGAGAAAAAAGGGAATCTGTAGAATCATAGAATCATAGAAAGTTTTGGGTTGGAAGGCACCCCCAGAGGTCATCTAGTCCAACCCCCCCGCAGCGAGCAGGGACACCACTAACTAGATCAGGTTGCTCAGAGCCCTGTCCAACCTGGTCTTGAATGTTTCCAGGGATGGGGCCTCCTCTACCTCTCTGGGCAACCCGTTCCAGTGTTTCACCACCCTCATTGTAAAGAATTTCTTCCTTATATCCAGCCTAAACCTACCCT